CGTCTCGCAGAGGCGTTTGCCAAGAACTCCGCCCCCTCTCAAGATTCCATACCCGAGTGGGCGCGCAAGTTCGAGGATGTTTTCAGCAAGGAATCCTTCGACAATCTTCCAGAACGTCGCCCTTGGGACCACGCCATCAAACTGGTGCCCGATGCAAAGCCAACAAACTGCAAGGTCTACCCTATCTCCCCCCTGGAGCAGAAGCAGCTCAACGCTTTCATCGAAGAAGGCATGGCCACCGGCCAAATCCGACCCTCGAAGTCCCCCATGGCCTCCCCCATCTTCTTTGTCAAGAAGAAGGATGGCAGCCTACGGTTTGTCCAAGATTACTGGGCACTGAATGCAATGACAGTGAAGAATCGGTACCCCCTTCCCTTGATCAACGACCTGATCAACAAGCTCAAGGGAGCCCGCTTCTTCACCAAACTCGATGTTCGGTGGGGCTTCAACAACGTACGGATACGAGAAGGAGACGAGTGGAAGGCTGCATTCCGGACCAACCGTGGGCTCTTCGAGCCACTGGTGATGTATTTCGGCCTTACCAACTCCCCTGCAACGTTCCAGACCATGATGAATGACATCCTCCAGGACCTCATCCTCTCGGGCGACGTCATGGTATACCTGGACGACATCCTCATTGCGCACTCCAACCCTCACCTCCATCGTCGTATTGTGAATGAAGTCCTCCGGCGCCTCCGCAAAAACAAGTTGTATCTCCGAGCCGAGAAGTGCGAATTCGAGATGGAGTCCATCGAGTACCTCGGCGTGATCATCTCCCACAACCACGTCAAGATGGACCCTGTCAAAGTGGCGGGCGTAGCTGAATAGCCGGCCCCCTCTAACAAGAAGGAAGTGCAGCAGTTCCTTGGGTTCACTAACTTCTATCGGAGGTTTATCTGGGACTTCTCGCACGTTGCACGCCCGCTCTTCGACCTCACCAAGAAGGACGTACCGTGGTCTTGGGGCGACAACGAGTCCACTTCGTTCCAGGCCTTAAAGGATGCAGTTACCTCTACGCCGGTTCTTCTCCTCCCAGACTCCTCTTGTCCTTACCGCCTAGAAGCTGACAGCTCCGATTTTGCCACAGGAGCCGTCATCTCGCAGCAGTCCCCCTTGGACAACAAGTGGCACCCAGTCGCCTTCTTCTCCAAGAGCCTTAACGACGTCCAGCGCAACTACGAGATCCACGACAAAGAGATGCTCGCAATTGTGCGAGCGCTGGAGGAGTGGCGGCACTTCTTGGAGGGCGCCGAACACCCTGTGGAGATCTGGACCGATCACAAGAACCTGGAGTACTTCCGCAAGGCCCAGAACCTCAATTGCCGGCAAGCCCGATGGTCGCTCTACCTATCCCGCTTCGACTTCACGCTCCACCACCAACCCGGCCGGCTCATGGGACGACCAGACGCGCTCTCCCGGCGCCCGGACCACGGAGCCCCTTCGGACAACACGGACGTCACCCTGTTGAAACCGGAACTGTTCCATGTGCGAGCACTCGAAGGACTGTCCGTCTCTGGCCCAGAAGCCCCGCTTGTCCGTGACATTCGGGAATCGCTCTCCAGTGACCCTGACCTTGAGGAAGAACTTGCGCTTATAGTGCGACGGCTTCTGAAAGGGATGAAGGGGGCCCGCTCCGCTGTAGCAGCGGAATGGCGCATCCAGGACGGCCTCCTCTACTTCCGTGGGAAGCTAGTGGTTCCGCGTGACAGAGACCTACGGTGACACATCCTCGAGCAACACCACGACACCCGCGTTGCGGGGCATGCTGGCCGCTTCAAGACACTGGAGCTGGTCTCCCGGAACTACTGGTGGCCCCAGCTCTCACGACATGTTGGCCGGTACGTGGCCACCTGCGACCAGTGCTGTCGGACCAAGGCCCTCCGACGACTCCCCACCGGAGAGCTTCACCCCACGGAGATCCCCTCGGAACATTGGGAATCGGTGTCAGTGGACTTTATTGTGGAGCTGCCTGAGGCGCATGGCTACGATGCCATCATGGTGGTCGTCAATATGCTAGGGAAGCGTGCTCACTTCATCGAGTGCCACACTCGCCTCTCGGCCGAAGGGATGGCTCGATTGTTCTACAAGCATGTCTGGCGACACCACGGATTACCCATCAAATACGTCTCGGACCGTGGCCCTCAGTTTGTGGCAGACTTCACCCAAGAGCTATGGAAGCTGGTTGGCGTCTCCCCTGCCACGTCCACTGCTTACCACCCGCAGACTGATAGCCAGACCAAACGGGTCAACCAGGAGCTGGAACAGTACCTCCGGATCTTCACCAGCTACAAGCAGGACGACTGGGATGAGCTCTTGCCTGCAGCTGAGTTCGCTTACAACAACCACGTCCACTCCTCGACCCAGCAGGTTCCCTTCATGATGGACACAGGACGCTTACCACGCATGGGATTCGAGCCAACAGAGCAGCGCTCCACCCGAGCAGAGTCTGCCAACAAGTTTCTGGACCGAGTCGCATCGGGTGTAACCGAGGCTAAATCAGCACTGGTCAAAGCAAAGGACGAGTACAAGAGGTACTATGACCGACAAAGGACTACCGCTCCCGACATCAAGGTTGGCAGCCGAGTCTGGCTTGATGCCTCAGACATCACGATGACGCGACCCTCTCGCGGCCTCTCCCACCGACGACTGGGCCCCTTCAAAGTCACCCAAGTTGTGGGCCGGGGCGCATACAAACTCGCCCTCCCGACCAGCCTCTCTCGCCTCCACCCAGTCTTCCCTGTGGTCAAGCTCCAGTTGGCCGAAGACGACCCGTTCCCCACTCGCCCGCGTCACGAGGAACCACCCCCTGTCCTGGGACAAGGCGAAGGGGAGGAGTGGGAAGTGGAGGAGATCCTAGACGCAAAGATGCGCTACCGGAGTGTCTGGTTCCGAGTACGATGGAAGGGCTACGACCCGTCTCACGACCAGTGGGTCAAGCACTCAGACGTTTTTGCTGACGACGCAGTAGCAGCGTTCTACTGCAGATACCCGGGGAAGCCACGCGTTATTGCAGCAGCCGTATTCGACTCGCTACCCTTCAGGAACTCGTCGACCCCTAACCGTACCTTGCGTCGAGGCGCCGCAATCAAGAGGGGGGGTGATGTCAGGGGAACCCCTGCTTTTGTCCGATCATCATGGGATCTTGCATGTGACCAAGCACGTGCCATCTGTCAAGCGTCACATGCTTCGGTCCGGACTCCCCTGCCAAGCGCATCCACATGACACTCCGGCCCGGACCCCCATTGTTCTGACGGTCCGGCTCCCACTGTTCCCCCCGATCCGGCCCCTCATTGTTCCCTGGCCCCATTGTCTGGCGCTTCCATTGTGCTTGGTCATCCATTGTTCTGTAGGCTATATATAGTGGGCCCTGACAAGGAGAGTCCCCAACTCGGTTTCTCTTTGGACTCTCCCTTGTCAGGTTTGCCAGTCTCCTGTACTATTCAATCCCCTTATCTGACACTTTGGACTCTCCCTTGTCAGGACTCTGAGATCGGGCCTCGAGGTTGCCCTTACAATTACTCTAAAAGGCAACCAATCTTAGATAGCGTAGCTACTATGCAGTTGTACAGGACTTTACTAAGCGTCGTTGTAGACAGTATAAGTAGTACGTTGTTTCTTTGTATTAAAAAAAGCTTTTCCCCAGACTGTGAATCACTCTCATATCAGATTGTTTTGTGCAATTTGCGTGCCGCGTGATTCCACTTTAAGAAGTTCTGCCACCCCTGCCCGGTCGCGACGAGTTGCTCCCTGAGCACTTGTAGCTACTGTGATTTGAGTTTGAGTTTTGAGATATCAGAAAGCTGGATTTGCCGCTTCTGGTTTAGTCGCGGCACTTAGTGTCATCGCCTTTGGGCTTTGTTGAGATCGTTTCCACACCTCTAGCTTGGCAGTGCGTCGACAAGTTGTGCTCGGGTTTTGGACATTGAATATTGGCTGTTAGTTGGCAGTGCGTCAACGCGGCATTTTGGTTTACTAGTTGGCAGTGCGTTGACTGAGTATATTGGTTGTATCGGTTGGCAGTGCGTTGACTTGATATTTGGGCTTTGCATCACCATCTGGACGCCGTTGCTACAAGGGATCTTAATACTTTGTATTAAGCTCTGACTTGTGATATTGTTGGTTGTGGTTGGATTAGCGTTGGTTTTGTTTGTATAGAAGATATTGGTTGAGACACCACTGTTTGCTATATATAAATTCTTGTTGTTGACTTCGTCTTCCGTGACTATTGGATCTGCGTCTATTGAGAGTTGTGATACTGGTGTTCTGTTCACCCCGAAGCCCTCACATCTTTCACACACTGAGAAGCTGATTACGAGGAGTGTGAACGTGTTTATATTTGGGTTTACTTTCATAGTAGATTCACCTGTGAGTGCGCCCTCAGCATTTCACCGGGAACTGATCAATGAGGGTCACGTGGTAGTCCATCTTGACGATATATTGATCTTCACAGAAACCTTGAACGAGCATCGGCGGATCACGAAGCGAGTACTCAAACTACTCCAAAAACACAAGTTGTACCGGAAACCTGAAAAGTGCGAGTTGGAATGCATGGAGATCGAATATCTGGGGGTAATTATTGGACACAATTCGATGCGAATGGACCCGGTCAAGATCAAGGGCGTGAGGGAATGGCCGGAACCAAAAAGCGTCAAACAGGTCCAAGCTTTCCTAGGGTTCACCAACTTCTATCGATGCTTTGTCCGGGGATACGCGGAGGTTGCCAAGCCGTTGACACAACTGACAGGGAAGGCAGGATGGTCAAGGGGTACAGATGAGCATGCAGTATTTGATGGATTGAAGAAGAGAATCGTGGAGGATGCGGTCTTAGCTGTCATAATTCGACTCTTTTTCATCTTATCCTCAACGATCTCATCTTATCTCGCCACGGATTATCTTATCACGGATCACGGCATCAGACGGTCCGGGCTAGGGGTTCCAGGGGTTATCCTTATCGATTCAAGGCTGCGCGACATATGCTCCGGAAGGTTCTACTACAACCCATGACCAGTGCTCCATGCGGTACATAGCCTTATGGCTCATTAGTTGTAGATATGACTCAGACTGGACTTGGGTATAAATACTGTAGCTACTTGGTTGTATTCTCCAGTCTTGGAATTCACTTCTCTTTTCAACTATTGTTTTTGGTTGATTGTCACATAATTCCAAGACTCCCCTCATACCCTTGTACCTCTTACCTCCTACCCTGCACCTCTCACCGCTACGCCCGCTACATCCTCTTCACCCTTTTACCGAATCATCTAGTTGTTCTCTGCGATTGCAGTGAAGGGTTCATCTCGAGCAAACAGCACCAGGCCACGGGTAACGTTGAGCCCAACCCAAGCCTTACGGTAGCTACAAGAAGTGCTGCAGAGACCTTCGGGAAAACGCACCTCGGGATCATCGGGCACGTGAAGAGCTAGGCCCGGGATCTTTTTGCTAGCAAAAGAACCCTCCCTCGAGTGCTTGTACAGCACACAAATTCACCATTTTGTACCGATTCCCATCGTCGTCTGGGAGTCCATCCCCTCCTCCCATCGTACCATCGTCGCCCAATCTGGCGCATCAAAACAAACCTGGGCCCTCCAACCCCTATCTTGCCCTCCCGCCGCCTGAAGACAAGATCCCCGACCTCGACAAACTGCCCTCCGAACAACCACCTTCACCCCCACCTACCACACCTGCTCGTACCATGTCAGGACATCACCACATCACCCTCGCCGCCAACCCCCCCTACTTTGATGGGGACAAGTCCAGATATATGGGCTTTGTGGACTCATGCACCACTTACATCGGTGCCTATCCATCGGAATTCTCGCTGGATGAGACAAAAATCCTCTTTGTTCTGTCCTACCTCCGTAATGAGACCGGCACAAGCTGCGCTGCCTCGAGATGGGCGATGAACTGGAAGCAGCACAATTTCGAGGGTTTCCAAGGAATGAAGGCGGGAGTCACCGCGACAACCTTCTTGGAGGAGCTCCAAAAAGCCTTTGGGGATTCTAACGCAGAACAAGTCGCCGCTGCCCGACTCATGGCCCTTCGCCAGGGGAGACGGTCCTTCGCGGACTACATCTCTGACTTCGAAATGCTGGCTGCAGACGCGGGGTACAACGTGGTCACCTCGACCAATGACAAGGGCGAGTACAAGAAGGGGGATCAGGACAACATCCTCATCGAGTTCCTCCAGCGCGGGTTGAGCAGCGAGATTGCAAGTCGCCTTTACAACACTGGTGTTCCTCTGCCCAAGGCGTATGGTGCCTTCAAGGACTGGTGTGTCAACATCGAGGCAAACGCTCTATGCGATCAGCTGCGCAAAGCATCGCATGGGCACTCTACGCCACGACCACCCCCCCAATTCCGCCCGCAGGCAGCCCCAACAACGCCTGCACCCGCCCCGGCCCGACCCGCTGCCAACGAACCGGTTCCAAAGGAAATTGATCGTACCCATGCCCGCGGCCGCAATATCATCTGCTACAACTGTCAGCAGCCCGGACACATTGCGCGGAACTGTCCGGAACCAAGAAAGAAGCGCACATTCTTCAATCGGGCCACGATGCTTGAAGAAATCGAGAACGGGGACAAGGACAACGAGTTCCTCAAGGAGATCGCCGAGAAGCTGCGCGAGAAGGGTTTTTGAAGCGCTCCACTCCTCTAGCCAAGGAGGTGGAGCGTCCGGACTATGGACGTTTTTCTGTACTTGTTTCAATTAAAGACATGAACGATTCTACACATACATATACAATCTCGGACTCATTACGTACCAATATTCATGATTTTCTCATTGCTGATATGGAAAAGGAACGCCAAAGAAAAATAGTTTTAAATAGAAAGTATTTACAAAGTAAGAAGGATCAGAAAGCTGCAGATAAATTAATTTTGGATTCATACGTATTTATGGCTCGTGGAGAAGGAACCACGTCAACAAAGACCGAGAAGGGGAGCATTGCTCCGAAGGCTCAATCCTTGGAAAAGGAGGAAGCGCCTAAGGAATCTGCCAAAATCAAGGTTCCAGAAGCACCCAAACGCACCAGGGTGCCAGATGCTGTCCAGAGGAAATTGGCGACCGAGAAACAGAAGGGCCCCCAGCCCAGCAGGTTGGCGCAGGAATTGCGCAGTTACCAGGCCGAAAGGAAGAGGCATTCGATGGACGTATATGTTCAGATCACGGGTCTGGACTCTGGGAAGACACGCGGAGTCAAGGCGCTACTGGATAGTGGCTGCAGTACCAGCTGCATCGATACCGACTACGCGCGGGCAGAGAAGTTGGATATCCAAGAGCTTCCGCAACCCATCGTGGCTTGTAACGCCAACAACACCAAGAGCATCAGCGGTCAAATCACACATTACGTCAACCTAAGGATGAGAATCGGTCCTCATGTGGAGACACGCACGTTCCTTCTGACGTGCTTAGGGAAAGCCCGGATCTTCATCGGTCTTGATTGGCTGATGGAACACAACCCCGAGGTGGATTGGCAGGAGCAGACAATGAGATTCAGCCGATGCCCAGAGCGGTGTCACATGAGGGGTCACAAGGAACATCAAGCGATGATTGACATGGATGCAATCGACCTTGACACGGGCACAGCGGATCTGGAAGAGGGAGAATCGATCCTGTTGGTCGATTTCGGGAAGGAAGTGGACCTGCGGCTGAAGGAAACGCCGGCGCCGCAGAAATTCGCAGAAGAAGCAGAAAAGGAGAAGGAGAGAATGACCGAGGGAAAGATTCCGGATCAATATTGGAAATTTGTCAAGGTATTTGCCAAGGAATTGTTTGACTCGCTACCGGACCGACGGGCATGGGATCATGCGATTGAGCTCAAACCTGGTTCCAAAGCAGTGGACTGCAAGGTGTACCTGTTATCACGCAATGAACAAGTCAAACTCGACGAATTCTTACAAGAGAACCTGGCCAGTGGACGGATCAGGCCATCAAAATCACCCATGGCATCAGCATTCTTCTTTGTCAAGAAGAAGGATGGCTCTCTACGCCCCGTCCAAGATTATCAAAAGCTGAATGAGATGACAATCCGGAATCGATACCCGCTGCCGCTGATCTCCGAACTGGTCCATAATCTATGCGGCGCAAAGTTCTTCACCAAGCTCGACATCCGGTGGGGATACAACAACGTACGGATCAAAGAGGGCAACAAGTGGAAGGCTGCATTCCGCACAAACCGAGGGCTGTACAAGCCCTTAGTTATGTTCTTTGGTCTCACGAATTCCCCGGCAACGTTCCAGAACATGATGAACAACATACTCCGAGAGTTGATCAACGAGGGTCACGTGGTAGTCTATCTGGATGATATACTGATCTTCACAGAGAACTTGGACGAACATCGGCGGATCACGAAACGAGTGCTTGAATTGCTCCAGAAACACAAGCTATACTTGAAGCCCGAAAAGTGCGAGTTTGAACGCATGGAAATCAAGTATCTAGGTGTAACCATTGGACACAACTCGATGCGGATGGACCCTGTCAAGATCAAGGGCGTGATGAAATGGCCGGAACCAAAGAGCGTCAAACAAGTCCAAGCGTTTCTAGGGTTCACAAACTTCTATCGGCGCTTTGTCCGGGGATACGCGGAGGTCGCCAAGCCGTTGACACGGCTAACAGGGAAGGCAGGATGGTCATGGGGTACGGATGAGCGTGCAGCATTTGATGGATTGAAGAAGAGAATCGCGGAGGATGCGGTCCTAGCACTGCCAAACAACACCGGCCAATATCGTCTGGAAGCCGATGCTTCGGAAGGGGCAACAGGATCAGTTTTGAGCCAAAACCAAGACGGCATTTGGCGCCCAATTGCATTTATTTCGCACGCATTGACCGAAACCGAGCGAAATTACGAGATCTACAACAAGGAGATGCTTGCAATCATGCTATCACTAGACGAATGGAGACAGCTACTACTGGGAGCCACGGAGACGTTTGAGATCTTCACTGATCATCAGAATCTTGAGTACTTCCGGAAGCCGCAGAAGCTCAATCGACGGCAAGCACGATGGATCACGGAGTTGGCAGAGTTTGATTTCACTTTACAACACCGACCCAGCGCACTCAACCGCAAGGCGGACCTCCTGTCTTGACGAGTGGATCACGATCAGGGCAAGAACAACAACAAGGACGTCACGCTACTGAAGCCCGAGTTCTTCCGATCACAAGAAGTCACATTCGAGGGACAGGATCAGCAGCTAATCGATGAAATCAAGGCCATTTGATCGATTGATGGAAGCGTCAAGGCGGCCTTAGAGAAGTCACTCGTCAGATGGAAGAAGGAAGAGGGGCTTATCACGTATCATGGGAAGCTCTACGTACCAAGGGACAAGGAACTGCGAGACAAGATCATTGGGCTACACCACGACACACCCTTGGTCGGACACGCTGGGATCAATCAAACGCAGGAAATGGTGGAAAGGAACTACTGGTGGCCAAGGATGGGGAACCAAATCCGGAAATACATCCAGACGTGCGAGGCGTGCCAGCGGACCAAGACCAGGAGAGCAAGGACAGGGACTCTGCACCCGCATGCAGTCCCAAATGCGCCGTGGGAAATCATCTCCATGGACCAAATCGGACCCCTACTGGTCAGTAATGGGTATAACGCAATTCATGTGTGGTGTGACACCTTCACCAAAATGATCCATGTCGAACCAATTAGTACTGACATCAGCAGTGAAGGAGTTGCACGATTAACCAGGGACCGAGTTTTCCGCTACCACGGGATTCCCCGCAAGATCATCACCGACAGGGATTCACGTTACATCAAAGGCTTCATGAGGGAGACCAATTGGATGTTGGGCGTGGAAATGAATCCGGGGACCGCATATCACCCAATCACAGATGGACAAATGGAACGTATGAATCAGGAGATCGAGCACTATCTCCGCATCTACGTCAATTACCATCAGACGGACTGGTCGGAGTGGCTGGGAATGGCGGAGTTTGCATACAATGACAAGATGAACACGTCTACCAAAATATCACCATTCTACGCCAATCACGGATATCACCCATGGAAGGGAGTGGAACAACGGATGGAATCGAGGAACGAGTCGGCGGAGGAGTTTGTAAAAAGAATCAAAGAAATACAAGACAAAGCAAAAGCAGCATTGCAAAAAGCAAATGAAAAAATGAAAAAATACTACGATAAACAAAGAAAAGAAGTTCCGGAGTTGAAGGTTGGGATGAAGGTGTACATAGAAGGGGAAAATATTGAGACAGATAGACCATCAAAGAAGATGAGCGACAAGAGATTAGGACCATACAAGATCCTGGAGAAGGTTGGAGCGGCCGCATGGAAGCTGGACTTGCCGGACACGGACCGAAGACACCCGGTGTTCAACGAGTCACTATTGACACCATATCACAAACCACCCCCCCATTGCCAAGAGAAGAGACCTGTAGCCAAGATGATTGGAGGAGCAGAAGAGTGGGAAGTTGAAGAGATCGTGAAAGAGCGAAACGTCGGGCGAGGAAAACAGTACTTGGTCAAATGGACGGGCTGGCCGCATAGCGAAAATACTTGGGAACCATCACGACACCTTACCCACGCAAAGAAGGTCCTGAGAGATTGGCAGAGGAAACAATCCAACCCAGACACACGCATTCGCCTCCTGCCAACGCTCGAAGCCGGACACTGGGATTATCTCATCCATCGCTACAAACCCAAGGACGAGCGCCTTCCATACCCCCAGCGACAACTCTTCGATCCCTACGAGAACGTCTTCACGTCCATTGGCCTAGTCGATGAGGACATCGACCCTAGAGAGGGGGTAATGTCATAATTCGACTCTTTTTCATCTTATCCTCAACGATCTCATCTTATCTCGCCACGGATTATCTTATCACGGATCACGGCATCAGACGGTCCGGGCTAGGGGTTCCAGGGGTTATTCTTATCAATTTGAGGCTGCGCGACACATGCTCCAGAAGGTTCTACTACAACCCATGACCAGTGCTCTATGCGGTACATAGCCTTATGACTCATTAGTTGAAGATATGACTCAGACTGGACTTGGGTATAAATACTGTAGCTACTTGGTTGAATTCTCCAGTCTTGGAATTCACTTCTCTTTTCGAGTATTGTTTTTGGTTGATTGTCACATTAGCACTGCCAAATGACACTGGCCAATATCGTCTGGAAGCCGATGCTTTGGAAGGGGCAACAGGATCTGTTTTAAGCCAAAACCAAGATGGCATTTGGCGCCCAATCACATTTATTTCACACGCATTGACCAAAACTGAGCGAAATTACAAGATCTACGACAAGGAAATGCTCGCAATCATGCTATCTTTGGACGAATGGAGGCAACTACTGATGGGAGCCACGGAAACGTTTGAGATCTTCACCAATCATCAGAATCTTGAGTACTTCCAGAAGCCGCAGAAGCTCAATCGACGGCAAGCACGATGGATCACGGAGTTGGCAGAGTTTGATTTCACCTTACGACACTGGCCCGGCGCAAGGCGGATCTCTTATCCCGATGAGCGGATCACAATCAGGGCAAGAATCACAACAAGGACGTCACCCTGCTGAAGCCCGAGTTCTTCCAATCGCAAGAAGTCACATTCGAGGGACAGGATCAGCAGCTAATCGATGAAATCAAGGCCATTCGATCGATTGATGGAAGCGTCAAGGC